GAAGAACAGATAACACTACGCTGAAGCTGAGAAAAGCTACATTTCGAAGTGTGTGTATGTGTGCATGTGAGTCAGGCTGTAAGTAACAGGAGGGGGGAAATGCCTGAAGAGGTGACAAACACGATGCTTGATGAGACAAGACTTTACATTGAGCAGTCACACATAGATATACATGCTGCAGCAGCAAAGCAGTTCTTACTCTTGGACTCATTTGAACAGCTTAATTAATCTTCCTCAGAGACCTCTGAACATGAACACAAACCACTTTCTGATTGTAGTCAGAGAACACACATCAAGAATTGCCCCACGGTTATTTTGCTGATGTAGTAGTTTTATTTTGTGTTCTTCCTTATTTCCTTCCTTCCTGCTCCTCTTTATTTCTCTGCTCTTCCAGGATGGAATAGGCTGATGACTGTTTTTTTCCTCATCACTATTCAATACAGAATGGACAGAAATTCCCCAGAGCACACAGGTATTCTCCTGGCATAATACTTCTGAGGCTATCGCCATTTCCTGCCTTTTAACATCCCCTGGGATTCTCTCAGCTCAGCAAAGACTGCGTGATCTTCTCAGGCCTCCATTCAATCTTTTATTCTGTTTATTTTTACTTATAGGTAAAGTGGCTATCACTTCTTTGAGTCTCAAATGAATTAGTCATCCATTTGCTTGTGCATAGCTTGTAACTGTATTTCTTTTCTCTTGATCTCAAGTTGCATCAGTGCTACAGAGTTAACACCTTAGGTGCGGGCTGACTTTGATAAGTAGTTTTTGTGACATTAATAGCCTGATCTGGATAATTCCACTTGTCTGCCACTGTGTGCATGGATACACCCAGCAGGATAACGTTGGCATATTTGTTTTAAACATGCACTTCAGACAGAAGTTGCACAAACAGAATTAGATACTATTACTGACAAAACCAAACCAGTCCATCAAAACATGTTGCTATCCCTCTAATTATTCCATTTCCTAGCTGAAACGAACTTTCATGCATCTCAGTTAGGCATCTGCAAAACATTCATTTACGCTTTACCTTGTGCACTTTGAACGCCTGGGATGACTCTCCATCACTTGTCACAATTCCAGCACTCTCCTGGCCCCTATGGACAAAATATAATTAACATAAAGCACCGAACTGCTTAGAATGAAAAGCTGTAACGTACAACGGATTGGTGGTTTTTCCTCTGTTCTTTACAACATGAAATTTTAATGTAAGCTTATTTATTGTTTTATTTTACAGGCTTGTAATCAAAACTGGTTTCTTGCCCATGTTATGCTTTATTTCAAAACAGTCACATCACATTTGTGCCTAAGCCCACTGAATTCAGCAG